TACTAAATGTCTCATAAATATCCTCGTATATTTTCAATTCCAATTTTAAGTCAACATTTTTTGCAGTTCGACTTTTATTTCTCCTGAATTATTTAGATTTACTTTAAAATTATGATCTTAGTAACATAAATACCTTTAGGTACTTTAGTAGCACATTATTAACTTATCTAATATAGAAATAACTTAATTAGCAGTTTATGTAAGTTTAAAACGAATTTTAAATCCATTCGATAAGCTTTTAATTACCTTTAAAAGAAACAATAATCTATAATAATTTAATTGGTACATTAATTATTAATATTAAAGATATCCATAATCTTACAAATAAGTTAAATATATTTAACTTTTATACGTTTAATTAAAAAAAATATTACCATAAATTATCAAAACAAACTCTATTTTATTAGACTGTAATCAATTCGATACACATTTAAAATGCCATGTAATTTCAAAATGAAAATTATCCGCAGTAAATAAAACAAATAAATTCATAAAGAATTGGGATGGAAAATATTGTTTACGGAAGAAAAATCTTAATTTCCTTCTGTTGTTCTTTATTTCCCATGAGTCTAAAATAAGGAAGTAATTACGTTCTTTGTTATTTCAATATATACCTTTTTTATTCGTTATATTTATTATTGACAGTAACTAAGTTGGTTCATTTAAAGAACAATAACGAGAGACAAAGGACTTCGCAGTACATTCAAATCTCTATCAAAAATCCTTTGTTAATGTAAAAAAGTATATATAAATAATGTACAAATGCATATATAGATTTGTCTTGTATAAACAGACAAAAGAAATTCACATCCAGATGGATAAAAATGGATAGTAAAAAGAATTTTCTTGAAAGCTTCCTTCCTAAAGCTTCTATCAAAGAAGTCAATTTCTTCCATTCGATGAAGACGTATATAAAAGATTCTATCATAAGGAACTGAAAGGGCATTTTCTTACAAAAGGACTACGACGTAGAGATCGTACTTGTTGAATTGTATTGCGCGCAACAGTTTTACAAAACTATTATTTGTAAATCTAAATACAAGAATTCTATTTGAATAACTATTAAAAAGATATTAAAAAATGATAAAAGAGTTCCTATTAAAATATGCGCAGTATGAAAATATAATTTATTACTTCATTATTTACTAAATAATACTTATATATTTCACGTACCTGTTATCCGTTGGAATCGCAGATACAAAATCGATCTCAATTTGTATTTCTTTTTGTTTAAAATCAAACTGTGGTAGTGCTAACGCGTCTTGCCCCGATGGTCGGCCCAGCGACACTGCGGGGCTGCGAGCGACTGCTACCCTTACCTGTTACTTTCCACCCCTCACAGGGGGTAAGGGAGGGTACGAGGGTGTCGTTTTATCACCCACTTCGGAACAGACGTAACAGCGTGATTTTAACTACTGCTATAATCTAGTATTGAAACTATTGCTCGTTTTATTTTTATTGAAATGTATTTTGTTCTTTTCCATACTATTATAATAAAGCGTAAACACACTTCTTTGTTGCTTAAGATGTCAGCAATTACAGCATATTATTGAATAGTTCTTTTTTTAATAAAAATCCCTACACTTACGTCACGCTTTAGTCTATATATTTTCAGGCTATTAAACTTAGGGGGTAAATATTTTGGTTAAAAACTCTAATGTGGGAAAGAGACCATAAGTTGCTGCCAACATCAAGGATATAAAATTGCTATACTTTGTCATCATATCATGTCTGTTATTTTGACATTTGCAATTGAATTTGACAAATGTAATCAATTTAACAATTTTCATAATTTCAAGCGAATGAAGTCGCACGGGAACAGCTAGTAAATGTATAATCAATTTATAGAATGTATTCTTTAAAGAGTGTGTAGGTAGGCATATAAATTATCATTTTTGTGTCCTTATAATTTCCCCTTTCGCATCCCTTCCCTGTAAAAGGGGACTATAGGTTCCATCATCGATTAACGAACTAGGCAAAAAGCAGAAGTTATCAACAATCGTGAAAGTTCCACATTATAATGTCTTTTTCTAATCAGATAAAATTAAGTTCGTAACCTTTCCTAACCTTTTAACGGAGCTTAATAAAATTTTCTCGAATTGAAGAACTTTAGAGTAATTCTGTATAAACGACACAGTAAAGGTACAATTTCTAAAAACTACTAACAAATATAAACCTAAACACAGCGACATAAAGTCGAAACTTCTTTAGATCTGTTTACAAGTATGGTGTAACTTTTACTAAAGGATGTTCTTTTATGAAGTCTTCTCCCCGTGTTGAAGAAAGTCAACATACTTCATTATGATTTATGACATGTGGCCCGTGATTGGTACGACCACATTTTAAATGAACTGTCTACGAAATATCTACGAAAGGTCTACGATTCTCCGGATCAGTAGAGACTTTTCATGCAGATTGTTTTAATTAGCTTTTGGCGTGAATAAAGTTAAGTTTACAATGGTTTCCAAAGGCGATAAATTAGTGAGTTAAGTTACATGATGGCTACGGAATAAAAACGTAGTTATTTTACGAAGGATTTACAGGTAATACACAACATACTGTAATATTCTTACTACGTAGCGTACGTGATCTTTTTTATCTATTTAACTAGCTGTTCCCCTCAGACTTTATCCGCATAAAATGGTGAAAATTTTATTTTATTGTTTACATTTGTCAAATTATCAATAGCAAATGTCAAACTGACATGACATGACAAACCTTGCCTCCTTAATGTTGGCAGGAACTTATGGTCTCTTTCCCATATTAGGGTTTTTATCCAAAATATTAACCCCCTGTGTTTAATGGCGTAAAAATATATAGCCTAAAGCATGACGTAAGTGTAGGGCTTCTTATTACTAAAGAATCATTGAAAAATATGCTGTAATTGCTGACATCTTAGGCAACAAAGAAGTGTGTGTTTACGCTTTATTATAATATAGTATATAGTATAGATAAAATAACAGCAAACAAGGGCTCGTGTTATATTAGAAAAGATTTTGTCCCATTATTAAATACTTTTAAGAGAAATATTTGAACATAGTGTTTCATTCCTAAAAATGTCACATATGTACGTTGTATGAAATTCAAACAAAAACCTCACGTGCGTCATAGGTTTTGAGTAAAAAGTAACCTATTGCGTAGGTGTTTAATCGATACGACACGCCGCGCTTCCAAGTACTACGAGTAATTAGTTATTAACGTCGACGTACTGTGCGGGTGTTTATAAAACTAGATATGGATTTTGCTCCCTGCGAGCGGAGTCACAGGCGAAGGTAAAAGACATTTGCAGTAGATTTTAATAACGAAGCTTCTGAGAAGCTGTTTGAACACCTACACATCACTGACGCCTACACTTACTCGTATTAACAAAATACTAGAACAAAGGGAAATGTTTCGAGGAAATTCACAGAGAATATCAAATAGTATGTCCTCAGTCTAGATGTAATAGGTTATGCAAATAGCTGCGTTGGCGACGTAATTGGAGATTGGATACAAGTTGATTGTATTAAGGTTTAACTAATGTGTTTCTTGGATGAATACGTAGAGCGTGCGCACACCTGAAACTAAACTATCGCACAACTGTGTAGTCTCGCTTTGATTCCTATGAGCTAATATGAAGGTGAACGCTACTCAATTTTTAATTGGTGCAACTAAACAGTTGATTTGACTGCGAAACAATCGACAATCGCACAACGACTGTGCGACAGTTCAGTCAAATGTGTGAGCTCGCTCTTAGATTTGCCTTTTTATTGTCATCACGAATTTAAAAAAAAATACACATAACTTTAATTCAAAACGAAAAATCTGTCTGACGCGTTACTGGTGAAATAGCGCCATCTGTTGCTTGTAGTTTTAAACAAAATAAAGTCTAAATATTATTTTACACGCTTTCCTATTTTAGAATATACAAAATAAAATAAAAAAAAACTTTTTTGTTAGAATTGTATTGAAACAGTAGTATTATATTAGTAAACAATATTATCAGGTGACTTCTGATACAAAAGTAAGCCAGTTAGATTATTCTATTTGTACAGATATAAAAAATGCTATGTAAGAAAATAGATAAAAGATAACATTAATTATCAGATTAGTTATCTAAAATAAATAATATTGTATTTCCCGTGACTCATAAAATGTCTTTGTTTTCTATTATAATTTGCCAAACATGCAAGCGGCAAACTAGAATTGCAGAAATAGCGAAGCGAGCGCTTATAGAAATCCCCAATTACAGATGCGTTACCTATCTTTAATTGAAGACAGACACAAAAAGATGTTTCTCCCTCCAATGCATCCTTTCTCAAAAATTCACTTTCTCTTTGCATTGTATCCTTGTAAGTGTGACAAGGAAATATGGAATAAAATGAAGTCTCTAACACGCTCTTTTATCAGACGAAACTCAAATAGCTTTATTCCACACCTATGTTTTGTGTGGTCGTGGTATTGCACGAGCCGAGCTGACCCATTTGAGCAACACTCTATTGGGCTCACCACTGTTATAGCTTACGTACACCTTTGACTAAACTATCACATAACTATTTAGCCTCTTTTTGATTCCTAAGACTTTATGTAATGTAGGGCACACTACTCGATTTTTAGTTGTGCAACTAAATAATTGGTTGCAAAACAATCGACAATCGCACGACAGTTGTGCGATAGTTTAGTCCAAAGTGTGCGCCGGCTCTATAACTAATGTACAAGTTTTGTTAAATTAATCTATAAGAAAGAGACTTGGGTTAAATGCTGTTATTATATAAAATACTAACTAATATTATAAACAGGAAAAATTTGTATTTCTGTGTGTATTAAAATAACTCAAAAACTACTACGCCGATATTACACATTCTTTCACTTTAAGAAAGGTAATTTATCTACGACTAATACGGGCTATTTTTTATTATTTAATTTCACGCGGACGAAGTCAGGAGCAACAGCTATTTAAATTAAAAGGTAAAATAAAACATAAACGACTTCAAATATTTATAATTCACCAACAACTAGCATTACAACATAATTTAATCTCACCAAACATTGCATTACCGACTTTATGGTCTTCAATTTAAAATACACTTTACAACTCCGTGTGTGTCGATGGGAACTTCTTCAGGACAGCGTGATACAGATTATAAAAAGCGTAGACAGACACGCTGATAATAACAAAGAGGGAGCCACCGAAGACGAAAGAGAGGAAATTCCCGTCTATCATTGTGGTGCCTTGAAGGCTACGCGCGTGACCTTGAAAGAGGTCTTTAGTGCCGGATCCTGTTGCCTTTCTTTCTTCCATCATCTTCTTCATCGAAGTCAATCTCTCTTTTAATTCATCAATCGATTCAAGCATATCCTCCGACTCTGGAAATCGTAATATCATAAATGCGAAAGTTTAAATGGATGGATGGATTTTATAGTTTGTAGCCTTCAGGCTACAGATCTGGATGAAATTTGGTATAGATATAGAGGTAAGTCTGGAAGAATATATGGACTACTTGCTTTTGTTTTTTTAATTCCACGCAGACGGAGTCGCGGGAAAAAGCTAGTTATAAATAAATTTTAAAAAACCTTAATACCGTTTAATAAGGTCTTGTAGATGTTTTCAATGATATTTTCAAAATAAGATACTTTTAAATTTAACTATTAAAATTTGTATTAACTTAAACAATTCATTTATCAATTAAACTTTTGTGCAAAATCATTTAAATTAGTAGATTTCAACAGCAACGAAATAACTTTAACAGTTCACAGCGTTAAAGTTAAGAACTTCTAGTTAAGTTAATCTTCATTCGACTCTCGTATACTCAAGCACTAAACGGTAGCCGTCTCTTTGAATATCTTAAGTTTCTGTACGTCATTTAATTTCATTTTATGTAACGATAATATAAGTTAAATTAATTGTAAAATTATCTGAACTTTCGTGAGACATTTTTAGAACTAATCATTTTACGGCTATTACTAGCGTCTATTTTTCCGGTGGTGGCACCGAGCAGTTTCAGATCCTGCGGAGGTTCTTGGGAGTGTTGTGCGAGGTGCGACCCAACCGCGAAACAATCCCATCGCGCCTCGCACAACACTCTCGCTGAAGAAGGACCCCCGCAGGTTTTGTAACTGGTTGGTGCCGCCACCGGAAAAATAGACGTGAGTAATAACCGTTAAATAATTAGTTAATTGTAAAATTGTTTAAAAAAATTATAAACATAAAAGCAATGTGAGAAAACACCCAATTATAAATTTCATCATTGTACAATATTCGTGTAAATAAAAGAAATAAGAATCAATCAAGGGGAAAAGAACTTGAGTTTAGGACGATCCAATTTGCAGACAAGTCTGTCAAAGTGTAAGAGGGTCTGCGACAGAGATTGGCGTCTTTAGTACAGATTGGGAACAGTCACCTCCCCTTCCCTGAAACTGATGCCTGTCGTGCTTTAATGATAAAAAAAAACTGGAACGAAGTAAATATTTGACTTAGATCCCTTATTTATATAACGACTGACAAGTAAAAAAATTATATTACTTAATTTTTTTATTTGTAATTTTAACTAACGAGAAATTTTATTAAAATAAATTATTCAAAGTCAACGAACAATTTCCATTTCTAAAACCAAAAGTTCAAATTTTTTTACGAATTATAAAAAAGAATATGAATTTTAAAATATCTTACAAAAAGGTATAAGTTCGATACCAAATAGATAATAAATAGTTTTAGGTTGCTACAAACATAATAATTACATCATAATATGTTTACATTGATAAACATAGATAAAATACCTAAACACGAACAAAATGATAACAGGGAAATACCAATCAAAACAAGAAAGCATTCCCAACAAGAATAAAACATAAAAATATCCTTTTATTTCTATTCAACTAAAAAGAACCTTATTAAAATCTAAAATAAATCAAAAACAAACTATACATTAACAAAGTAAACCTTACCTTGTGTATCTCTTTCAGGGCTCATTTTCACTGATTATTTACAATATTTTTGTGGCGATGTTTTGCAAATGTACCATAGAGCCTATCCCGCCATTGCCTGTCAAATATGGCCGCCGCGCATGCGCGCTTCCGCCCTGGAATATGCGGGAATTATTGATCGAGAGCCCGGGAATACCTAGCTCGGTGAATGTCTAGATAGGTTGCTAACACTTAGTATAGCTACTTAATTGTCCTCGCCCTCTGTTAGATATTTCTAAATTTACATCTTTGTATAGTTGCTTTTTTGTTTTCTTTTTAATAAGTACTGTTAATAACGTGAATTGGTAATAACTTGAATCTTAACATCAAGCTTTCTCACTAGTCTCCAACTATTTTATTGCGTAAACTCAAGGGAAAAAATAAAGGTTTGAATACCTAATAAAACATTTATTATTTAACATTTCAATAGGAACTAGATTTGGGTTACCAAAAAAATATTAATGACATCCAAACACAATAACTAAATTTAAATTCAAATAGCATTTGCAACAATCCATTCAGTATACGATGAAACAGCAGTATTCACTCCTGGAGTAGTCTTGTTGGCACATCCTTCACCAAAAGCGACGATTCCAATTACAATATTTTCAAAGAATACAGGACCTCCAGAGTCTCCCCAGCAAGGGCCTTTGCCTCCAACATCGATAAGACCCGCACAGATCATGTTAGTGGTCACCACTCTTGGAGGAACACTGGCTTCGTATCTCTCGCGACATAGATCATTATTGATAGAGAAAACGTTGACTTCTTGAAGAACTTCAGCACGGTCACCAGGGAACTGTAAACAAAGATCAAACAAATTGGAATCATCATTATCCTCTTGCCCTTATCCCTTACGGAGGGTCGGCACAGTATGTGCTGCTCTTCCATACATCTCTATCAGCTGTCATATCTGAATCCACTCCTTTCTTAAGCATATCCTCTTTCACACAATCCATCCATACTTTCTTCGGTCTTCCTCTACCTTTGTAGCCATCCACATTTAATCTTAACACTTTCTGGTTTATGTCCTTTTCGTTTCGTCGCAAATTGGAATCAAACAACAAAATTCTACTCTAGAACTATGTGGTGTTTAGTGTACATACATCAGTCATTCCCCAACCGATATGTGTAATCGGTAAGTTATCAGGGGCGACAAATCCACTAGCCACTATAGTCGCCTGTTTGATAACATCCGTATACTCCAGTGGACTCTCGAGGTAGAGGAGAGTAGCATCACCATCGTAGTCATTCAGACCCCATGTCGGGTGATTGAAGATGATGGCGACTTGTCTGATAATGCCGCCGACACTGCGATATGAACTGCCAGCTCGGATACGATAGCGTTGCTGAGATGTTGGACTGAAATAAATATGAAAATGAAGACAATTCGTTGGTTAGTACTTAAAACATTAACAACAAATGTTAGGACTGATCAGTGTTATTTCAGGCTTATTATTATTTTTTTCTAGATGAAAAGTATAAACAAGAAGCATAACGTTTCATGTTAAAAGTTCTGTGTAATATTAAGAAATCACAAACCATTTTATCATTCCCCTGTTAAACTCATAAACATCTGCAGTTGCAGGTGCGTTGCCTACACTTAATTGACGAAGGAGGAGACGCACATAAAGTGGATAATTCCACTTCCTGTGCGCCTCCTGTCAAATCTACTTTTCCTTCCCATCCTTTTCTCTTAAAACATAGGTAGAAAGAGAAAGGGACGAAAATTAGGCCTCCCGCACCACTATCATAAGACGAAACGGATTTGCTTCGACTTGGTCATGGTATAACACCGGGCGCGCGACCCATTCATGCGAAGATGTTAAAGCGGGCTCTACCACGTACTACCCATATGAACTTACTACGATATTTTCTATCACTCACCTAACATCAAAGCAATGGGCGGCTGAGAGTATAGTACGTCTCGTCAGCACACTACCGGCGCACATTTGGGAAAACACATTTAAACCAATCAAATGCTCGACTTGGACTATGATGGGATATTTCTCCACGGTTGTGGCTTCACCGCCCACAATTCTATTGACTTGGGAGGCAGAACATGCCACCACTGTAATGAAAATTTATTAAAAACTTTTAACCATAAACTTATACTCTAGGATATAAATACTAAAGGCATTTTATATCTATGTAAGAGTAAATATTATATACAAACCAGAGAGACACACAAAAAGAATGCCTAAAGGCGACATTTTTGTTGACAATGAGTAGTACATTCATGTCTTTTATACACATAATTTTATCTATTTTGATTATAAATTATAACATATCCTGTAATTAGTTGTGATAATTGTAATCTTAACTTATGTTATAAATGTTTTAAGTTCGAGAATGACCTAAAGTTTCCTATTAAAGTTGATTTAATGTAATTAGACATAACATACTCTTACTATGTTAGACATCAACAAATATAGATCTCGGGGATGAAGCTTAATCCCATGTGTACTCCAGACTTTGTTTTATATCTGTGCCAAATTTCAATAAGATATGTTGAACCGTTGCAGAATGATCGAGTTAACATTAAAAAACTAAATTAATGAATCCCACGGGAACCGTAACTATTCCCGGGATAAAAAGTAGCCTATGTGTTCTTCTAGACTATGCTCTAAACCTGTGCCAAATTTCATGGAGATCCGTTCAGCCGTTTAGGCCACAAACGCTAACAAACATCTATCCATCCATCCATCTGTCCATCCATCCAAACTTTCGCATTTATAATATTAGTAAGATTAGTAAAATTTTTATTCCCAGAACTTCAAATACAAGTTTTAATAGTTGTGATCCCGTGCATTCCGTTTGATAGAACAGAAAGTATAAAAGATATTTTTTTAATATAAAATACAGAAAGAGGACACGGGAATTCTCCGAAATAGAGAAAAGAATGCTCATCATACCTCAAAATAACAATCGTTTTAAAATATATTAAAGTTTTCATTCAAAATTTAATTCATTTATTCGTTATTTTGAAATTTGTAGACCCTATGTCTACTTATGACTAGTTCGGTTTTGTAGGTATTTGTTTTTTTTTTTGTTTTTTTCCTATCTTCGTGAACATTGTCGCAATAAAAACTCCATGCTTAGTTACTGTATTGTGATGGATCCTTAGAAAATGTGTAAAACTCCTATTATAGACTCAAGATCTCTATTATTTTTCTCTCTAAAGACAAACGGTTTAATAAGGCTTTTACTAACGACCACAAAACTTCTGTCAAAATAAGAAAAATGTGGTTTACTCCGTAATATCTTGAACTTATTATCCTTGTTTATTTTCGTAAAGTTATGGGTATTTCAATATTAACTCAGTTACTGAAATAAAAAAGAAGAAAATAGGATACTTTTTTATTTTTTTATTGTATTTGTAAGAATGTGGAGACACAAGAAGAAGGAAGACACGCATCAAGTGAGAGTCCTTCCACGTGTTGTTGAGTAAGCGTTCTGAAGATTTAATTTGAGTCGTTGCTCTTTCCACCCTCACAAAAAAAATGTAGGAAAGAAAAGTAGATTTTGCGGAGTACGTGACGCAGATGAAATATGGTATATCTTTCTGTTTAGAGTAGGTTCTTAAAGGCGTAATTCGGTGATTCCATGTAGCATCCTTGTTTGCAATTTTCTTATACAAAAACAGTAGTGTAGTGATCATATGATTAAAAAGAAAAAGTTATCGTTCAAACAGCATTTTCGACTATCCAATCAGTATATGACGATACAGCAACATTAACAGCAGGTGTAGTCTTGTTAGCACACCCTTCTCCCCAAGAGACGACTCCAATAACGATATTATCATAGAAGACAGGTCCTCCGGAGTCCCCATAGCATGGACCTTTGCCCCCAACATCGAGAATACCGGAACAAAACATGTTATCAGTGATGACTGCAGTAGGCATGTCTGCGTAACGCTCGCGACATACGTCTAAGTCGATTGATAATACTCCAACTTCAAGAAGAATTGGCGCTCGTTCACCCGGATACTGAAAAGAAATTCGATTTAATTAACTTTCTTTCATTTGTTAATATGTTTATCGAGTTAAATGTAGATGATATTCCAAACCAAACATGAAAATAGTTTTAAGGATAGCTCTTGATAGCGTCAAAACATTATTTACTTGCGAACTACCTTATAAACTTTACGAGATTTTGAGACGTTTATGTATTTAAAAATTGTGTAACCAACTGTACAAGAATTTATACTTATAAAATTATTCGACATGATTAGGATATAGAAAATAGTGGAGTGCCACAGGGAAGTATTCTTGGCCCTATTCGATTTTTAGTTTAAATAAATATCTTCCAGTCTCACAACTATAGTGGAAATTGATAAAGAACATTCTAGTAATAATATTATACTAACCGAAACCATTCCCCAACCAATGTGAGTGATCGGCCAGTTTCCAGGTACAGTGAAACCGCTAGTCACAATAGTTGCTTGCTTGATCACGTTAGAGTAAACTAGATCAGATTCCAGGAAAAGCAGATTAATGTCCCCGTCAAATCCATTTTCACCGTATGACGGGTGGTTGAGGATGATGGCCACATCTCTGATGATGCCACCAAAGCTACGGTCAGCGCTGCCGGCCCTGATGCGATACCTCTGCGTAGACTCAGGACTAAAAATTCATATAAGAAGACAATTAAACATAAAACCAGGAAAAGATATCAATATTAAGTGAAGATTCCGATATTTGATTCGTTTAAAAGCGTGCGTACACCTGAAACTAAACTATCGCATAACTGTCTAGTCTCGCTTTGATTCCTATAAGCTTATATGGAGGTGCGCACACTACTCGATTTTTAGTCGTGCAACTAAACTGTAGAATTGGCTGTCGAAATCGACAATCGCATAACAGTTGTGCGATAGTTTAATCAAAGTAGTATGCCCGCTCTGAAGTTTACTTTATCTATTGTTGATAACATTATCAATCATAAGTTAATGATTTCTCTAGTTTTTGGTAGATGGCGCTGTTTACAATATTTTAATATTATCAATGCAACGGTCTTATCTTACGGAAAAAACAACACAGATTTAAGTCTACTAATTAACGATAAAGACCCAATGATCTTAAGCAATCTTTTTTACCTTTCTGTATCCACTAAATTAGATAAAATTGTACTACTCACCCAACCTCAAAGCAATGAGCGGCAGACACTATGGTTCTTCTCGTTAGCACACTACCGGCGCACATTTGAGAGAAAAGGTTAGAATCAACTAAAAACTCCACCTGTACAATGACAGGGTATTTCTCGACGGTCGTGGGCACACCCCCTACAATGCGGTTCGCTTTGGCAGCACATGACAAAACTGGAATGACAGAGAACTTGGCTAGTTTTATTACGCCGTTTATTTAACTAGTTCTTATATAGTTACATAAGACTAGAACCTCTCTAAGAGCGGACGTACATATTAGACTAAACAATCGCACAGTTGCTGCGATTGTCGATTGTTTCGCAGCCAATTCAACTGTTTAGTTGCACAACTAAAAATCGAGTGTGCGTCACAGTTGTGCGATGTTTTAGTCGGCGATGTGGGCGCGCTCTAATAAATTCGAGTATAAAAGAAAATAATCGGGATTTACCCCCATATTTATACGTCATTAAAGTCTAGGACACAGAAATAGCATAATATTTACAATTCAATAAACAAAGAATACATAGAAAAAACTTACCTGTAAAACATAAAATAAATATGCCTAATGGCGACATTTTTGTTGGTAAAATGATTTATCGATGTCTTCTTTTATACGTTACACATAATTTTATCAACTTGTCGATAATTCTTAATATATCCTACTATAAATTTTGATAATTTTAATGCGAGCTTTGCTCAGTGGTCATAAATTTTAAAATCCTCATGATGATAAGTAGTTACATTTTTAAACATCACGTAACAAAACACACAAGGGTTATAGCACACTGGTTAACTTTTCTCCTAACCTAACCCACCTTTCTACATATCTCCGAGGCATCATCGACACCGTGCCGTCAACCCGTGCAAGCAAAAACGATAGTTTTAAGAGTCGCCATACAACTGGCAATTGCGTTCATTTAGTGGTATTTTGTGAATGTCGTTGGCACATATGAAGTGACCCTTAACAAAACAAGAGACTATGCATGGGTTCACGGTGAACAAGGCGATATCCAAACGTAAAGGGTGCGAGAAGGAGGTAGATGATACCGCTATCACCTTAATATTAACATTTTGTTATGAATATAAAAATCGCTAGCGAAAATGGATTGTAAATGTTCTTTACTGTACATGACTTTATACTTTAAAGTCTTCTTTCCTGACTTTATAATTAATAAAGATTATTTGAATTTTAAGGTGTATTTCCACTAGTATCTATATAAATAAATATTACCATTTACACTGCGTTACATCGTTATTAAACAATATCGTTATACTAGTCTTTACTAATATTATAAAGATGATTGTTTTTAGGATTTTCGTATGTATTGAAATAACTCAAAAACAACTGGACCGATTTAAAAAAATCTTGCACCATTAAAAAGCTATGTTATTACATTTTTACTATTTTAATAACACGCGGGCATAGTCGCAAGCAAAAGCTAGTTATTAATATTTATGTGTCAATCAAAATAGAAATTAAACAGTGGCAGTCGTACGTCAATTGTTTAACATCGAGGTAACGTTAACATGATGTTTTAAACCCACATGTCAGGTTGGATGTGTACACGCTAGTCAACCTGTGGTACACTGGATTATTTAATTGCTTACTCATTTCCTAGTCAACAATAAGTAGAAACAAAGCTACGTCTATTATCTCTGTTCATTTTTTAAACTTTATCATAAATCTATTTTAATCAATAGAAAAAGTTTATTATTAGTATGAAGTATATTCACAGAATCACAAATTCAAACCATACTAATACTATAAATGCGAAAGTTAAAATGGATGTATGGATGTTAATTTAGCCTAAACTGCTGTTGGATCTCGATGAAATTTGGCATAAATGTAGACGAAAGTCTGGAAGAAAACACTACTTTTGTTCTTTTTTTAATTCCACCAGGACAGAGCCTCGGGACAAAGTTAAAATAAATAAAAGTGTAACTATGTAAATATATAATTTATTTACTTTATGGCAATACTATTGAACATATTTGACAATAGCTGGTATTGTATTAAAATAGGAACAATTAGACGGCAATCTCCAAGATCCAGTTGGTGTAGGAGCTGACGGAAGTGCTGACGTCAGGGTAGGTACCGTTGGCACAAGTCTTGCCCCAGGAGGCAATACCGATGACCATGTTGTCGTAGATGAGAGGGCCACCAGCGTCACCGAAGCAGGTACCGTCAGCAGCGCCATCGAGGAAGCCGGCGCAGATCATGTTGGAGGTGACGGTGTGAGGGCGGGGCCAGTTAAGGTAACGGCTCGCGCACTCTGCGTTGTTGATCGTCCTCACGGACACATCGGTTAAGTATTCGGCGCGGCTACCAAAGAACTGTAACAAGGAAACCCATAAGTATGCGTAAATCAACGTTACCACACAATATCAATAATTTAAAAGTTGACACGAGAAATATTATGAAGACTACGAGTGTGCGCACGCCTGCAACTAAACTATGACGCAACTGTTTAATCTCTCTTTGCTTCATATAATCATAAGCTCATATAAATGGATATATCGAGTAGTGTAACTAAACAGGTGAAGGCTGCGAAACAATCGACAATCGCACAATAGTTGTGCGATAGCTCAGTCAAAGATGTGCGCCCGCTCTAAAATTGACTAACTTTATTTCATGATCTTTTATGTGTCTTTATTAATTGGAAATATAACTTGTCGTATGATAAATGTAAGAGCTTGTAGTGTCATCGTTTGCAAGAAAAAAATTAAACAGTGTTGCACTTACAGAGGGTCTGCCCCAACCAGCGTGGACAACTTGAAGATTGTCAGGGATAACAGCGCCCTGAGCGATGATGGTGGCTTGACGAATGCTGTTGGAGTACACGAGAGGAGTCTCCAGCCTGATGATTGAGATATCACCATCGAAACCGTTCTGTCCGAAGGACGGGTGGTTGGTGATGCGCTCGACGGCGTGGATGGAACCTCCGGTGTTACGGTATGTACTGCCAGCCCTGATACGACGGACCTGGGGGGGCGCGAGACTGGAAAGAAGAATAATAATATAGTCAGTCAATAAATCTTTAATAGCGGTTAACTTTCAAATTAGGAATGTTTATATACTCTGGAATTGTTTAAAGCACATCATACTTCATACTTATATTGTAAATGCGAAAGTTAAGTAGATGGATGTTTGTTAGAGTTTGTAGCCTAAATGGCTGAAACGATTTCGATAAAATTTGGTATAGATGTAGAGGATAGTCTGGAAGAACACTTAGGGTACTCACTTTCGTTTTTTTTAATACCACACGGACTACCACTAGTGTTAAATAGTGTTAAAGAAAACATCGTGAAACTCTTTAAAAAAATACTTACGATTCCCTAGTGCATGAGGCGGCGGTCAACACATATCTGGAGGTGAGAACATTACCGGCGCATCGCTGAGACCAGATAGCGAACGCAATCCAGTTCTCAATTTGGACCATGAAAGGATGCTGCTCGATGGTTGTGGGTTTGCCACCCACGATGCGGTTGGCGTCGGTGGCTGAACACCAAGCGGCTGGGGAAAACGTAATATAAATATTATTGTTACTACACAATAACACAGTGGGTTCTTTTTGCCAGTGTTGCGTATAAATTTACAACTGTAATTAATGTAAACCAATCCGAGTTACACTTAAACACCTACTCAATTTATTGATAATAACAACTTATTTAGAAAAAAAAAATAGATGTAGGCCAAAACACACCTTTAAAATATAGGAATAACTACATCATAAGGCGGTAAAAGAGTAAAGAGGATATAGCGATGCTCTTGGTGCTCTTTAACCGTCTGAAGAAACGCATAGAATATTTTTCTTTCATACGTCCCTTCTGTCAAAGCAATTACTTGGTGACGTAAACGGGGAATCAAGGATGGCTGCTTTCTATCTTATTTTTACTAAATTAACTTACCCAAGAAGAGTACAGCCCAAGCCAAGTGTGCCATTGTGTATTGCGATTTAGTAACTGGATGATGCTGAGGTGGTATTGGTGACTTTTATATGATTATTGTTATCGGATATAAGCATTAAAGGTGTTAGCAATTGTCTTACAAAGCGCTATAATAACCGCATTGAACACTAAAAATAAACGATAATAGTAGCTAAGCGCTGATTATTATGCAAAAACAAATTCGAAGTACCCAAATGTACACTTTATTAATATTAAAAATGCGATAGTTAAGATGTTTGTTTGTCTAAACTGCAGAACGGATCTCTATATTTCGCATGTCATAGGTTACTTACTTTTGTGTTTTAATTGCACGCAGACGGAGTCGCGGGTGAAACCTAGCTTGTTATAAAAGTTAGAAGTTTGTTGTTTGATATTGTGTTTAAAATCATTTATAGATTTAATTTATTATTGTAATAAAAATTTATAAGAATGTTGTCCTAACATTACAACAATTAATTCGCATTGAAAATATTAGGTATCGTTTTTTTTTTCTTAATATTTACGTATTCAGTCTCATGGTATATTTCCCCACTGGTCGATTAATGATTGATAAAGCGCCGATCTTGAGGTCGAGGGTTCGAATCCCGGCATTCGACTATTGTGAAACATATCCTAACACAAGTCTAGAGCTTAGTTGGAATGGTTAAAGAAAATTTTATTAAATTAACAAAAATCTACTAATGTTAAAAAAAATGATTACTAAGGTAGTCCTTAGTGAAATCTCTAAGATCTAACTGTTTTCTTCTATTGCCGACAAAGTAGTGATGTTTGTTAATATGTATAAATAATGTAAAGTAAAGAAATAATAGTACACTAATAAGAAGCTTTAGTAATTAAAATTGCAATTGTAGTCGACGTCGTCGTCGTCGCATATTCTCCTTAAAATAAAGGGGAAAATTTACAAAACCTTCGTAAAACCTGTTATGATGTATAGATCTGAATGTTGGGCAGTAAAAGGGACGGATGAAAGGAGAATACATGTGGAGGAAATGCGAATGTTAAGATGGATGTGTGGTAACACGATTGGATAAAATACGAAATGAATATATTAGAGGAAGTTAGAGAGTAGCCCCAGTGGTTGAGAAAATAAGGAGTAAAAAGTTAAGAGTGGTATGGGCATATTAGAAGGGATGAATCGCATGTAACAAGAAGGATGTTAGTTATGAATGTGGAGGTACACCGGTAGAAGTAGACCTAGAAAGAGATGGATGGATTGCGTGAAAGGTGACATTAAGAAGGGAGTGATGACTGAGATGACGGATGATAGAATGCTTTAGAAGACGAAAACCCGGTGCGCCGACCCTACGGGAGTAGGATGAGGCAGGGGAGATGATGATGAATTGTAGTCGACGTCCTTTATAAAGCGATTTTTTTATGTAAAATAGGTATTGCGTAACATTTTCAAAAATAACTAGCGCGGAAATAACAAATCTATTTTTATAACCTGTTACTGAGGGAAATAATTTTTTAGGAAACCCGATACATACAATAATACAAATTCCTGTTTATAGTTTTAATATAGATAGATATTAATCATTATCTAGAAAGTAAACCGCAGTGAGGTAAATTACAGAATCCTAAAATAATAAAACTGTATTGTATCTAATCAGCTTCCACCGTTTTCGATGAAGTTGTAAAATTATTCATAACCAGCTTTCGCCCGCGACTCCGTTCGGTTGAAATTAAAAATAATAAAAGTGAGTAGCCTATGTGTTCTTCCAGACTATCCTATAATAATAATAATAATAATAATAAGCCTTTATTCAGATAATTAATGTCACATTACATAATTGAGTTGAATATTGATACATTATAATAT